TAAATTTTCACAAAAACAATAAGCCTCGATCAATATGTCAATCAAACAAAATGCTTCAACTGAAGGCTCAATTGATCGAAGCAGTGTCAGTATGGGTCAATCGAATTCTCAATCGATTGATCCCTGTACAATAGTTGTCGATCAATAGCTCAATCGACCAGTGCATAGACAATTTTTTGAAACTTCTAGAATCTTATAACACACATGAAATATATAGAGAGATCTCTACCACATAAAGAGAATTATGTTTTCATCATCTAGCATGCTGCATGTTGAAAATAATATCTATAAGTTGACTCAATGATTGTGGCAGATTTATTGGGTCTTCAATATAGGCTAATATTTAGGGATTTTATTTTTATTCTGATTTGATTTTATTCTCTTTATTCTGATTTGATTTTATTCTCTTTTCCATATTTGTAATTTTCCTCTTGTATATAATGATAGTCAGGCTCTCAAATTGACTACGCCAATTTTACTAAGTTACTTTTTGGTATCAGTGCCTCAAACCTACGCCTCCCCCCTCTCTCTCTCTTTCACCGCCTCTTTTAATCTCTCTCTATCTCGTCACAGCCCCTTCCTTATTTCTTTTTTCCTTTTCTTCACAGGCCCTCTCTCTTTTTTCGGCCGCTGTTGCGACAGTCCTAGGGGGAGCCAATCTCCTATAGGTTCGACCCCTGTAGGGGTATTCCCTTAGTCTTTTTCATGCACTAAGGGTCAGAAGACATGTTTGTAATTTTTTGGAGCTGCCGGGATATTCGGCAGCATTTTCGGATCAGACCGCCGTGTCTTCGGCTTTTGATTTGATCAAAATCAGGTTTATTCCTCCTTTATTTGAAATTATTGGTAATCTGTTGAATTATTCTATTTAATATTATAGCTGAATCAAGTAATAATAAAGAAACTCTCTTTTCAGCGCAACACACACCGGCTTAACGAGTTACTAGTGTGTTGTTGAGTGGCCGTAATTTTGCATCCTGAGCTCATTCCCTCCGCCTTTATGTTAGTGGAAAAGGCAAATCAGGGTGGATTTTGGGTACTAAAAAGATGTTAGATATTACAGACCCTAAATATGCTCAATGGGATATGGACAATTGCACCATTTTAGGATTGATGTTTAATTCTATGGAGGAACGCATTTATAATACATTCATGTTTTATGACTCTGTTAATGACTTGTGGACTGCTTTGAATCAAATATATGCTCATTCTAGGAATAATGCTCGTATTTTTGAATTATACCAAGATATTGCTAAGGCCTCGCAGAAAGGCCTGAATTTGTCTGTAGTTGATTATTTTGGGTATTTGAGATCTCACTGGGAGGAACTAGCTCAATATAAGCCTCTCAGTGAATTTCCTTCCGAGGCAGCCTCTCTTCTTGTTAAACATCTTAATCGTCAGCATACCTATCAATTTTTGATGGGATTACGCCCAGAATTTGAACCACTAAAGTCTCAGATCTTGAATGCATCACCAATGCCATCTTTGTTGGAAGCCTTTGCTACTGTTGATGGTGAAGCACGGTGGCACCGTTTAATTCAGCCCTCACTTGTTCCTCTACCAGTGTCTGAGCCTACTAGGGGTAGAATGGCTTTTGCAGCCAACGTTAGATCACAAGCTTCTGGAGGTCAGATTATTTGTCACCATTGTGGAGGGATTGGACATGTTAAGGCTCGTTGCTTCAAACTTCATCCTGAACTGAAGCAAAAATTTTCTAGAAACCGTTTATCTGGAACTGGTTCTTCTCGTACTGCGGCTGTTGCAGAAACTCCTATTACTACTGGTGGATCTACTGTATTTCCTGGACTGAGCCAGCTTCAGTCTCAGATTGGGCAGATCCAGGACCAGCTTGGCTCCCTTGCTTCTAAAGTTGGTTCTCCTTTAATTGCTCCCACTGCCACTATTACTACAGGTACTCCTACTGCATTTAATGTTAAAGCCAAGCAGCCCACTTGGGTTCTGGATTCTGGGGCCAATGATCACATGACTGGTGAGTTATCAGTTTTTTCTTCTAATGTCATACCTGTTACCCAATCTGTGTATCTTGCGGATGGCTGTACATCTTACATTCATAGTAAGGGTGATGTTTGTCTATCTCCTTAAATTACTCTTTCATCTGTCCTTCATGTACCTAAATTAGCTTTTAACCTTTTATCTGTTAGTCGGCTTGCAAAAAACCTCCAATGTGCAGTTATATTCTTATAGCTCACTGTTTGTTGCAGGACCTTTGTTCGAAGAGGATTTTTAGCAAGAGTTATGAGCGTGATGGGCTTTACTACTTTGGGGAACCACCAGGAACGAGTCTTTAAGCTTCTGTCCTACCTACTTCTAGTGTTTATGATGTTTCTTTTCGCACTTTTAGTATGTGGCATGCACGTTTGAGGCATGTAAACTTTCAGTATCTATGTCTATTGTTTCCTTCGTTAAATAAAGCATGTAAGGACCATAAGTTTCAATATGAAGTTTGTGAGCTTTCTAAACATACTAGAACTAGCTATATTTCTCATATGAGTCGTGCTCCTAGTATGGTTGATCTTATTCATTCTAATGTCTGGAGCCCTTCCCCAGTTACTGCTTTCTCTGGGCATCGATATTATGTGACATTTATTGACGATTATTCTCGTTGTACTTGGGTTTATTTATTGAAAAAGAAATCTGAAGTGTTCCTTTTATTTACCCAGTTTCTTTAAATGATCAAAACCCAGTATAACACTATTGTCCATAATATTCATTTTGATAATGGACGAGAATATGTTTCGAATGAGTTCCGGACTGAACTTAATAAAAAGGGGATTTTACATCAACTCACTTGCCCCTACACTCCTGAGCAAAATGGCGTGGCTAAACGTGTCATCTTATGTCTGTAGTCCGATGTCTTCTGAGTGGTATGCATGTGCCTAAATTCTATTGGCACATGGCTGTTCTTGCAACTGCTTTTCTGATTAATCGTACTCCCAGTTGAGTTTTGGGTGGTAAAGCCCCACTTCAGATTCTTCAACCAGATTATACATTATTTCACCTTCTGCCTCGTGTTTTCAGTTGTACTTATTTTGTTCATAACCGTACTCCTTCTCGTCATAAACTTGATGATAAATCTATTAGGTGTATTTTCTTGGGGTATTTTGCTATGTCAAAGGGCTATCGTTGTTATGATCATGTGGCCAAACATATGTATCATTCTCTTGATGTGACATTTCATGAAACTGTTCCTTTTTATAGTATTAATTCTGTGGTACAGGATTCTCTCTCTTGTGATCTGGAGAATGAGATTTCTCCTATTGTCCGTCCTGTTCCTCTCTTTGAAAATCACACTGTCCTGGAATCTCCTTCTCCATCCATGCAGGGTTCCCCTCCACTTTTGCAGGTCTACTCTCGTCACCATCGCACTCAACCTCCCCTGCCAAAATCATCTTCAAAACCAGGTCCAGGTAACTCTCCTTCTCCTATGGCTCCTACCATTCTGGAGTATACCTCCCGTTATCCTACCCGTGATCGTCACCCTCCTAATTGGTATGGTTTTTCTAGTAGCACTAACCACCCTATTTCCCAATATGTCTCCTATGATGGTATTTCAGGTGCATATAAATCCTTCCTGGGCAAGATTAGGACCATTTTTATTCCTCGATCCGTGTCAGAGGCCCTCCAGGATCCCAATTGGGTGTCTGCCATGACAACAAAAATGGATGTTTTACAATGTAATAATACATGGGAACTTGTTGCTTTACCTGCTGGGGAGAAAAAGGTTGGCTGCAAATGGGTCTTTAATGTGAAGTACTTAGCCGATGGTTCTATTGATCGGTATAAGGTTCGGTTGGTGGCAAAAGGCTTTACTTAGATTCCGAACAAAGACTTTAATACTACCTTTGCTCCTGTGGCAAAGTTGACATTTGTGCGACTGCTTATCTCCTTATCTGCTGCCCATTCTTGGCCTCTACACCAATTAGATGTCAAGAATGCATTTCTCAATGGAGACTTACTTAAGACTATATATATGGATCCACCCCCTGGATTTTGGGCTGAGGGGGAGTATGCTGGGAAAGTCGGTAGGCTGCGAAAGTCTCTTTATGGTCTGAAGCAATCTCCTAGAGCTTGGTTTAGTCATTTCAACGATGTTGTTCTATCCATGGGTTTTGTGCGCTACCACTCAGACCATACTTACTTTATTCGACGTCGCTCTAATGGTCGTTGCATTATGTTATTGGTATATGTGGATGATATCATTATCACAGGTGATGATGCTTCAAGGATTGTTCAGGCGAAACTTCATCTTCAAAAGTCCTTTGATGTGAAGGACTTAGGTCCTCTTCGATATTTTCTTGGAATTGAGGTTGCTAGATCCCATCATGGAATTTCTTTATCTCAAAGGAAATATGTTTTGGATCTTCTTCAAGATACTGGCATGCTTGGGTGTCGACCCGCTTCCACTCCTATGGATCCCAATCTCAAACTCTCTATTAAGTCAGGGGAATTACTTCCAGATCCATCCGTGTATCAAAGTTTAGTAAATCGTCTTATATACTTGACTAACACAAGGCCCGATTTGACATTTGTTGTTAATGTGGTCAGTCAATTCATGCATGCCCCTCGCTCAGCTCATATGGATGCAGTCTACCATATTTTGAGGTATCTTAAGTCGTGCCTGGTCTTGGTCTGTTTTATGCCTCAAGAAATCAGTCTGGACTCTCATGCTTTATTGATGCAGACTATGCTGGATATAAGACAGATAGACATTCTACCTCTAACTTCTGTACTTTCTATGGTAATCATCTCATATCATAGAAGAGTAAGAAGTAAGCTGTTGTCTCTAGACCCTCTGCTGAAGCTTAATACCGAGCTATGGCTCAAGGTACTTATGAGCTCCTTTGGTTTCAATCAATTTTGGGAGAGTTAGGTCATGTAGAGAAAGGTTCGTTAAGGCTGTTTTATGACAATAAATCAGTCATTATGCTTACTTCCGATTCTGTTTTACATGAATGGTCGAAACATAATGAGGTAAACATTCACTTTATTCGAGAGAAGGTTCGCTTAGGTATCATTAACCCTATTTTTGTTCCCTCTTCAGAACAGACTACAGATGTGCTCACAAAGTCTGTTCGGCCTTCTCTTCTCCAGTCTTCCATAGTCAAGCTGGGCTTAGTCAACATATTTGCTTCAGCTTGAGGGGGAGTGTTAGAAATCATATCTATAAGTTGACTCAATGATTGTGGCAGATTTATTGGGTCTTCAATATAGGCTAATGTTTAGAGATTTTATTTTTATTCTGATTTGATTTTATTCTCTTTATTCTGATTTGATTTTATTCTCCTTTCTATATTTGTAATTTTCCTCTTATATATAATGATAGTCAGACTCTCATATTGAGTACGCCAATTTTACCAAGTTACTTTTCTGCATTAGATGGTGAGATATTATTCAGTGTGTTTATGATCATCTTGTATAGTTTACGTCGTCATCAACACCGAAGTGTCTCTACACAACGAATACACAATTGGAAAACAATTTAGTGGAGAATTGTATCACGTAAGGAACGGATCTGTTGATGAGTGAATAATGTGTTTGGAGACTCGAATGGAGAGTTTGGTGGATAATTCTGTGTCAAGAGGTAACTAAGAGTTTTCTAGGGTGCAGTAAACCGGTAACCTAACTATAATATCTCTTTCTCATAGTGGATTTGATTATCCTGGACTAAGTCCTACGGTTTTTCTCCGTTGGTCTTTTTCATAAAAAAATTATGTGTTCTTGTGTAATTGCATAATTTATTTATTTTTGTTCTTTATAATTAATTGATTCATATCCTATTTCAAATATATAATTATTAGAACCTAAGAATCAATTATTGATAATCCAAATTGGACAGGATCTATTCATCCCCTCCCTATCTAGATCTATATAGGGCATACTCAAATGAATTAGAACCTTGCATAATGGTCCCACAATCTAACAATTGTTACCGGAGCCCATCAATTGCTTAGATTTTTTCAAAACATAGGATAGCAAACTTCAGTACATTATTATAGAATTGATTAATGTTACACTTTGTCCCTCTTCTATTGCAAGCTTCTGGACATGATCAAACTTGTGCGTGTACCAATACATTGACACTCTAAGTTAAGGCCATCACCTGGTGTTTATTTCATTCTATAAATGCAGGGTGTTCGGAGGGATAAAAGGCACAAGCCCCCAAAATAAGAAACCATATTAGGAGAGAGAGGTGTATTAGGGTATTAGTAGTTATAAAAACAAACAGAACTACAAATTAAACTGTTACAGACAAATGAATACTTACTTGGTATGTTATCTATGTCAAATCTTAAAATCTTTCGAAGCAAGGATTTCTTGTTTTGTGAAAAATTGTAAGGATCATCTCCACGTGAACCATCTCCCATCATAAAATACAAATACCCATCACTTCCAAAAAGAGCTCCTCGATATGGAAGCCCCATCATGAATATCCTCCTCACTTCTGATGGATTAACACTTTTTCCTATAAAATAGATTGAGATTAAAATCCATAAGAAATATTTGCTCTAAGTATCTTCAAACTTTTTTTGAGATTAGAATGGATGTGTACCAAATAAAGCATGATGCAGTACCATTGGCATAAAACTCTGCGATAACAGTATGGTACTGGTATGGCTCAATCCCGTTATCAGCACCAAGCTTCGTAGGATCACAATTTATATCTGTATTGCATGAGCATCTACATGAACATCCTGGATGTTGGATTTTATCACAGTTAAACGAGACAAAGAATCGACCGTTATTTGTAAATTTTGGGTGAAATGTCATTCCTATCACCCCAAATTCAGTTTGAAAAAGCACTTGCTCAGTTATATCCATAAAGGAGTTGGATTCATGAACTCCCAAAACGTCTTTGGACCCCTCCCGAGGAATAGTGGCTAACCATATTTTACCTTGTTGGTTATTCAAGAAGACTTGGCTTGAGCCATCAGGATGTGGAACCATATTAATATAAGATCCATTTCCAATTTTCTCAAGGCACAGACCCTGTGGAGGTTGAGGATCTTCTGCATTGCTAAATAAAATAGTTTCACCATCGAAGCATACTACTCCATCATCTAAAGGCACGCCAAATGCTTCACAAAAGCCCCTCTTTGATTGCCACAAATTCAACAGTTTAGAAGGTGAAGAATCAAATGATATGCCAGCTCTTCTTCGTAGCGATGGAACAAATAGGGAATTCAGGATGGGTATGTTTCCACATATGTCCCATACCTTCATGCAAAAGTCAGTTGAAGCTCCACCCTTCGACTGAAGTAGTTCCACTGAATTAGTGGAGTTGCATAAAGCAGGAGCATTCCTAAGACCTAAGTCAATTCTAAATAACTGAGCAGAAAATTGATCACATAGCTGCAAGGCATGGATACACGCAGATTAAAATAACATAAAATAAGTCCGAACATTGAATATAACTGTCGTGGCTTCACATTCATGTCTGCATCAGAATAACTTGAAACTTGTATTAGATTCTTAGTTTTGAAATTTAGTAATTGAATATTCAAAATCATACCTAAAGCATTTATGCATCTTCCCCCACCCCAAAAAAATATAAATGAAAAGGGAAAAAAAAAAATGCATGCTAGATGCACAGCTTTCAAGCTTCCATTTACCTCTTTTGAAAAGTTCATCTGAATTTCAAACTTGAATAATGTATCATTGACTATTTCAAAGGTTACTCAATCACATTTGTAATTCATATTGATAATCAGTTTTATATGACTAATCTCAAAGTTTTAAATTTGGTTTATTTCAATTGATCAAAATCCCTAAAATTTGTTCAAATGTTGTTCAGATATTAAATCAGATATGCCTTTCAAAACTACAAATAAATGAGTATGTTCAATTAGCAAAGAGCAGTGAGGACAAAGGATAGCTTCTGTTTTAGTTCCTAGTATCAATAATAGTTTAAATAGGGGTCATTGCTTGACACATTGGTAAAATACTCAAACTAACAAACATGAAATTGTGGATTCGAATTTGAGAGCACTTTATATAAAATTATGCCAAGGTTAGGCCTATCTCTAATCGAATAAATTTTCAGTGTAAATGTTCCTAACGCCAACCATTTCAAAACCAAAATCATGGCAAGTAACAACCATATAGTTAACGTTGTTCGCTATGTATCATGAGTGCAACAAACATGTGGAAGTGTTTGCACTGTTAGTTCAAAATTTTACATTTATGCCTCATTATTGATAGTCCTGGTGAAATTTTAGAGACTTAGCAACTTAATTTAAAAAAAAAAATGGGTTGAGGAGGCTTACTGCACACAGGATTGATTTCATAAGAAAAGCGCATTGGGGATTAGAAATGTTCATTCCCCGGAACCGCCTTTGTAACCGCAAATCATCAGTGGAGTCACAGCATACACTACTATTGTAGTCAAAACAAAACTTGAGAGGTGTATTTAGCTTAAAGGGTGCCCCTATTTTCATCAAAAGCATAATACCAATTAGAGTACACAGACAACCATTAACATAAACAATTTTTAAAAAAAATAATAATAATCCTTTAACATAAATTGAAATGAACCAAACATACACAAAGAGATAGACACTCACTTGAGTTAGTGCACAAGGGAAATGATGAACAATGACAAGGAACAAGAGAATGAAAAGGAAGAGAGTGTCAACACCACCAATCATTTTACATTGGTGTTTAAAAGACAAATTGCAAAAAGGGTTCACTTCTATTTTCTATTCAAATGGTTGTATGAAGAAACCAATTAAATTTCTAATGATAGAAGTGCTAATTTGAAGAGGGGTTCAGTCCACATCAATTTCATTTCCAACATTTCAAAAAATAAAATAAATCCATTAACATAAATTGAAATGAACCAAACACATACAGAGATATAGAAACTCACTTGAGTTAGCACAGAAGGGAAATGATGAAGAATGACTAGGAAGTAACAAAAGAATGAAAAGGAAAAGAGTGTCAACTAACAGAACAGTAAAGTTAATGCTAACTTGCCAACTATACACCAAAAAAAAAACAAAAAAAAAAAAAAAGGTTGAAAAAAAGTTGAAAACAAATAAATTGACGCCACTTCTTCACCTTCATCTTTCCCTTCTTCCCTTTTGGTTTTATGATTTCTCTCCATTCATTTTCTTTTTGTTCCATTATTTCTTTTTAACTTATTTAATCCAAACCCTAATTCGTCTCTCCTTTCCTTGTGATTCCATAAAAAACATATTGCTTTTAAATTCCTTTTTTTATTCAAAACTCTATGTAATGACCCGGTCATTTTCTTCCTTTCCTTTTTCCTCAAATTTTACGGATAAATTTTTTCCGTTGTCTTTTCCTTTCGGTGTTTGGTTTCTCATCACTTAGTGTCGTCTCGAGTGTTTGGAAATGGTTTCTGAGACTCTTTTCTTTGGATTGACAACTTCCTTTGAGAACCGAGTCATTCCCACATTTTTCGTTTTTCGACACTATTCACTTTTCGTCATTTTTCCTATTTTGTCTTTTCCCTGTTTGTCACTTTGTTGGCATAATCTCACTTTTTGTGTTCGGAGTTGGTTTTTGACTTCACGTATCTTCATTCTAAGTGGTTTCCATGAAATACGTATCTTTACTTTTGCAGTAAAGTACTCTGGTTACTCTCGGTATCCATAGGGGCATGGATGCATAATTTTTCAAAAAAAATTTCTTTTCTTGGGGTGTTTTTCGTAAATATCTTTTGAAGATATTTTATTTCAGGGGTTTTTAAGAAAATATTTTTGGGAGATATTTTCATTCTAGGCCATTAGTGCAGCTTCCACTTTTTGGAGGGGCCATTATGCAATTAATGGAAGTTACTGCTAAATGCCTTGTTTTGAGCCTGGATCCTCGTACGGGATTCATTTTCACTTTTCGTCGAGTCGCCTACTCTTAGAATTCCCTTCTGGTCGTTTTTCTCCGGTTTCAAGGTTTTTGGCCCCAGTTGCCGCCGAACTTATTCAGAGCATATCTCTCTGTTCATAACTCAGTTTTCGACGCTATTTCTTCTATTATTCATATTTTCTCATTTTGGTTCTTTTTTGTTCACGGAGTTTTGCCGTTTGAGCGCGTCTGTTCAAATTCTACTTTTCCGGACCCGGTGGGGCCCTTTCGGGGCACTTTTTGAGATTTCTATAAATAGGTTGCCCTAATTTAAAAAGTTAACTTTTTAGCCTTCTTCTCCACTTCATGGCCGGCATCCATGACTACCCAAGGGGCAGCTACCTTTCTTTCTTCTTCTCCACTTGCATGCCTTTGTAAAAAGTCTCCCGCCTTTTATCGTAGGCCTCGTCGTGCTCTACCTTTCCCCCTTATTAGAACTCATTTCTGACCATTTTGTGCGTTCGGGTTTGAAGTCAAGTTGTGATTTTCATGGGGCTTCCTTGGGATTCTTGTTCATCGTGTTGTCCCCGATAAAACCCCGAAGTATCGTTGGATTCAGAGCACTTTTCTTTTGGTAGGGATTTGAGATTTTCATCTCAAATTGAGGTAAGGGATGTTATAGGTTTATATTTTTGTTATCTTGCATGCCATTGATGCTTATACAACTTGTATGCATACTTTTGTTCATAATCTAAAATTTGATTTAATTAATTTCTATGTTTAAGATTTAATTCACGTGATGATATTTAACTTAGAATTAAATTGTGGCATGCTAGTAAATTAGGCTTTGGTATGCTTATTAACATATATTAAAATTGGAGTATTTGATAAAGTATTACAACTTTTATTTAACAATTTTCTTTGGTGAAAGTTTAATTCTCATGGCCGTACCTTGCATGGAAATAACTTGTGATATGCTTTTAAATTAAGTCTTGGCATGCTCTTTAACATACTTTAATTTGAGAGCATTTGGATGAGTATGAAAATCTAGAGATTTTAATTAAAAGAATTAATTAAAATCTATTCAATGGTTCCATTGGCTTAATTGAGTTTTTAACTTGATATTTGTGATAAGCATGACTTGTACACTAGCATATATTAATTTGGGACCATTTGGCGTTGTTTTAGAAGTTAGAGATTTAATTATCATGATTTAATTAAATTATACCTTATTATTTCATGGCCTAATTAAGTTTTTGAATGGATATATGAAATGACCATGTTATGTTGTTTAACATGTGTTAATTAGGAATCATTTGATTGAAATTTGAAATCTAAATAAATTAATTGGTTTATTTGATTAATTTCCATTTCTATTGCATTATTGATTTAATCATGAGTTTGACGTTGGTAATATGTTTAAAGTATGATTTTAGACTAATATTGGATTCTTCAGTTTATATTTTCAATATTAAATTATATTGTTATAGCGTGTAACGAATCGCACACTGAAGATTCGACATGTGATTTTATTATAACGCGTAACAAATCGCACTCTGAAGATTCGACATTTGTCATCCTATAGTAGTTGTGGATTTAGAGCATGAGCTGTGTGGTTACAACTTACTTGTGCATAGAATGTAGTTTCGTGCTTTATATATATTTCGTATATAAGTTGTTAACTTATTTATTTTGGAGTCGCTTGGGACATTGTTATAGAGACATGGCTAGAGTTTGGCTCTAGTGCGGGAGGTATGAGTTATCCCCATTTATAGTGCGCACTTAGGGTGGTATTCCCAGTAGGTTAATGCCCGGACTATAGGTCTTGGGTTTATCCAGGATTTGATGTCCAAGTCTTACACTACTTGATTTCGCATTCAATTCCAAGTTGGCAACCAATGTTTAATTGTGACTTGTGGTTTTAGTTATCGGCGATTTAATGTTAATAAGTACATTCAGGCATTATGATTTCTAATGAATCATTGCAGGTTTTGATGTTGTTAAGTACATTCAGGCATTATGATTTCTAATGAATCATTGCAGGTTTTTGATGTTGTTAAGTACATCTATGCTATATTGTTCAAATGCAACTTTAGAATGATCCTATAGATTCATTTGGAATATAGACGTTAAGTGGCATAACCCACTTTAGTTATTTTCACATTTTAGATTTCAAGTCAATGGTTTTGAGGATCTATATCTTGTTACTTTGTATAGCATGCTTCTATGTTGTTTGAATTGCATGAATGATGTGATTTATGCTAGAAATGTTTCAAGGTAGCTTAGGATGCAACCTGAGTCTCACCTTTGACATAGACGTTAGGTGGCATGACCATTTTGAATTGTTTTAAGTTAATGTAATAACTTTATAAAACGTTAAGTCGATGCATGCTCATTTCCTATGAGTAGTTTTATGTTATTCACCCACGTAGTGGGGACATTTTTCAGGTACAGGAATCAAGATTCTTGTTATGCTTGGACGATTTGTGGACTTGAAGGTTCCATTTTGTGAAAGTTGGCTTGAAAAGCCATTTGTAGCCTTATTTGTCAAATGTGTATATTTGATTCTAAACTTGTAATGTATGCCTAAGCATACTTTTTTATTCTCATTTTATGTATATGATATGAGGCCAAAGGCCAAACCATATTTGAAGTTCATGTATATTCATAAATGTTGAAATCTTGCCTTTAATGAGAATATATAAGAAATTAGGGTTTTAGCATGACATTTTTGCACCGGAGTGTGCATCGGGTATGAAATTCATTATCTAGCATTTATTTAATATGTATGAGGTGTGGCCAAGGGTCAATCACTATTTTGTTTTCATTTTTGCATTTTAATTTCATACTTTGCATTTTGAGCTAAAATAGTAAAATTCGAGCCTTTAAGGATTCATTTCCAAATCGGATGATGCAAAGTGTGCACGAGCACATTCATTAGGACCTACTTAATATGCATGAAGTGTGGCCAAGGGCCAAATGGCAATTTGAAATCATTTGTTAATTTTAGTTTTCAAATTCTCCATTTCTAGTTCATTTTTGCATTTTTTGCCGGGGGGGTCGAATTTTGCATCGGCGATATTTTTAAGCCGTGGACCATTGTATCACGTCCTAATGGGTAAGTTACGCTTGCGTGCATGATCATTTTCAAGAAAAACCTCATCCTTGGTGATTTGAGCCTCCTATGAATTTACTTTTGATATTTTTTGCACAATCTGATTTTAGGACATTTTGGGATTTTCCTTCGAGAAATGAATTCTGGTCTTCACATGGTCACTTAGAAAATGTGATTTTAGGGGAGGTTTCTTCTTTGTGTTTTTCCAGAAAATGTCATCTTGGTACCGTAAGTCCCTCGCAAAGTTTAGCTTTCAATTTATATTTTTGCAGCTTTTTAACCCCCATGACCTGATTTCATGGAGGGGCATTTTGAGCATTTTATAGTGAGTTTTTTTTTTATTTTCTCTCATTTTTTTGGGTAGAAAATTTAATTTCGGGAGGGGTTTTTTTTTTCGTGTTTTTCTAGAAAAATTCGTTTGATAGCCCGTTTATGCTCTCGGATCAGGACAGTTACTGTACCAACTTTCGCCCTCTTGTCCAGTTCTGATCTAGGGGCATTTTGGGGATTTTTTAGTGTGTTTTTTTTGTTTCCTTTTAAAAAATCGGGTAGAAAACTCGATTTTAGAGGGGATTTCTTCTTCGTATTTTTCCATAAAATGTCATCTTGGACCCGAAAATCCCGCGTCAAATCTGATTTCCTGTGCGTATCTGCACTATTTGAAAAAGTCTGTTGTAAGGGCATTTTGGGGATTTCATATCAAAAATAAAATTTTCTTTTGACATGGTCAGCTTGGAAAAATTATTTTGAAGGGGGTTTCTTCTTCGTATTTTTCCAGAAAACGTCGTTTAGTGCCTCAAAACGGCACACGAATTTTAGCATTTTGCCTAGGTTACTATTCACGGCCGCAGTGACGTCAAAACTTTGTTGACTTTTCTCTTCCATCCGGATTCCAAATCAAGTGATTCTTGAGTCTAACTTGATTAATTTTTCGATGTATTCCCAGTGGTGTACTCGGTAGCACCCGATTTTATATTTTTCAGAAATGATTATTTTGCCCTTAGGGCTATTTTTGTCCTGTTTTCTTGTAATTTGCTTCCGCTACTTTCTTTTAAGTTCTGTGACTTCATGGGAAGTCATGGATGTGTCTCGGGAATAATATACATTCTAGGGACATCGTTTCCATGTAAAATAACTATTTTGTCCCTAGGGGCTTATTTGTCATATTTTCGATCTTTTACTTCCACGTCAGTTCTCATTGAGTTCTACGACTTCATGGAAGGTCATCAAAGTGTATTAAAGGTGTATTGTGCCTTGGGAGACCGTTGTGTTGTTTTTTGCTTCCACATTCTGGATTCGTTATCGGATCTACGTTCGGTTCATCACAAGACACGCTAGCCTAAAAATCAGGGCCGTCACACTCTAATTCCTCCCTCCTCCTCTATTTTTACTTTCTTATTTCCTTTTTTGAATCAAAACCTAGATTGTAGTGATTTCCTTCTAGAAATTGGTGATTTCTTCAATAAGATTCTTCACTTCATCTATAAGAAAGAAATCTACAATGGATTTGAGCTGGTATTTATAGTTTTGCACGCTTGATAGTTGGTAAGGCTTTATTAATATTATGCATTTAATAGTATTGTTCATTTACTGTTCAAAATACAGTGAAATTTTTGTTTAGAACTAAACATTGTAGATTTAAAACTGAAATTATGATTCTTTCATTTATTATCTATTATTGTAAATTATGATTCTTTCATTTGTTATTTATGTACACCTCCTCAACATTTCTCTTTTTATTCATCTCTAATACTCTAATCCAGTGCGCTAAACACACCTTATATAAACACATTCGACTGACATAACAATTGTTCACCACACACACAAAATATCAAAGACCATAATCAATTAGTGTACCCGTCACCCATGCTTTCTTCTTCTTTTCTCATTCCTTATCTTCACGCCATCAATTCGGCAGGCCCACCTGCCATCTCTTTTCAACAGACACAACATAGATACAATAACCAAATCAATTCACCCAAACATCCCACGTGAAGCCAAAGACTTTTGGCAACAAATGGGACCCACGAAATCATTATAACTTTTTCCTTTTTTTTTTTTTTAACGCATCCACCCATTCCTTCTCTTTTCAGCAGACAAATTATATATATGCATATAATCAAATCAAATCAAACCATAACTCATTGTGGGACCCGCAAAAGCCATTTCCATTACTCTCACTCTTCTTCCCACTTTTGCAGCTCCCTCTTTTCTACATCATTCAACAGACATTAAATATATAAATGTGCATCATATATACAAATGTAAACCTTCACCACTTCATCAAAAATCAAAACCCACCAAATTAAAATCATCATCACAATTTTTGTACCTTTCCCATTTCGGTTGACAGTTATCACCATCCTCCATTAAATATATATATGTTATATATACAAATGGACTTCCACTTGACCTTTTAACAAATCAAGACCTACAATTTAATAAATTAATTAATTAATCTACTAAAATTAAATACCAAAAACAAAATATCAATTACCCAAAATCTCCGTCTTTAATTAAAATTAAATAATCAACTACAAGTCATGAAATAAATGTAAATTAAAATCCTAAAAATCTAGGTTGTCACATTCTCCACCACTTAAAAAGAATTTCGTCCTCGAAATTCGAATCCAACAGTTTTCATATACTCGAAAATACCAATAACCACAAAACAAAATCCATAAATCCTTACCCCGAGCAATGTGAGAAACCGTAATATGTAGGACGTTGTGGTAGTTGTCAGTGCTAGTCACCCGCCCACACACTCCGTAACTATTGTGATAGCTAGTCAATGCGTCACCCGCCCACTAAAAAAGACAAACAATAACAAACCCGAACTACTTGCCTAATCACACTAACCAACCATCCCAATAGCTGCCAATGAACGCCATCCGCCCACGCACACTCGGCTACGAGTGGTAGCTAACCAGTACTACACACTCGCCCACTCACACCCGTCTACATCATCACTACACTCACATTTTTGGCTCGGTACAGGCTAATAAAATTCTCAATTCGTTCAAACACAAATATTTCACTATACTCCCATTATCATAAAAATAATAATAATAATAATAATAATAAAAAGATGTCCTCTTTACACAAAATCAATTTCCTCAAATATATATAAAATTCTCCAAATAAATAAATTAAATCTCATAACGCCAACTCTTCCACCTAAGCCCAAAACTAGCAGTCCACATTCATCTTTGGTACATGAAACCGGAGGGTGGTGAGACGGAAAGTCCCAGTAGGAAAAACCGTAACAAGAATTTTAATAATCAATTATCGTACCGCAAACCCTTTATCGAACACATGGTCCTACCTAACACACCTCATCACCCGAGACAACCCATCTGAACTTACACTGTCTCACCGACATGACGCACAGTACCATGCTCTCGCTGTCCCTGACAAAACGAAACAATCATTGACCTTAGACCCGACATCGTGCTAGAGAGGGACTGATTCAGAATAAATGGTTGGTCAGGCCATTCTCATCATCGATCAGGTCTCAGCATAGACATTGTTCCTGTCTTCAAATCCAAACCTCAAATACAATGTCACAGAGTCCACAATACAACCACGGAATCCACTCACTATTAATCCATCACTCTACGTAACCTTAATGACTATACAATCACATACCTGCTCTAAAATCCCAACCATGCCTTCAACACACAACCCAAAATAAATGAAAAACAACACAACACCAAATACCACAATCATCAACCAGCGTAAGAGCTCTCCGATCTCCTCATAATACCCATATTAGATAGACAACTCTATAACATCATTCAATCCAGTTCTGACCCAGTTAAAACACACAATTCGACTATCTCATGCCTGAGATCTCAAAACCAAAGTCAATCTTTCCCATTATTCCTAAACAGAATCCTATTTTCACCTTCTCTAGTTGCGTAATTTTAAGGCGACATCGACATTTGCTCTCAAGACATTGCTCATATCAAATGCCTATAAAAACATTCAAGTGTGTAACTCACTTCACACCACCTAATCATCTTCAAACTCACAGTTCACAACATATCTCCTAGCCATCATCGCTAGTACCAGACACTGGAAACACACAATCCCTATTAGATAACTCGTGCCTCACACACCACTAATCAAGACCATTCTCAGAACCAAAGACTCCACCTCTTTCTGTGGGAGTAAGTCAACCCATTCCACCAAACCTTTATTGGTGAACTCTAACAATATAACAAACCACACACGGGTCCGCCCATTCGCGGATGCGCACAACTCCAAGATGGAGGACAAAACCAATGACAAACGACGTCCTTGTCAGGACCAGAATAAACGAAAAGGGTAATAAACCTTACTCTCACAAGAGACTAACGACTCGCACCTGAATGCACCTGACACCTTGTCACACTCTGCTTACTAATCGGTCAACCATGAACACCCAATCTCATATGAGAAGAACTGAACTCCTTACACACAAGGAGAAGAACCAGCTGGATACCCGTACCGAACCACGAATACAAATCTAGGCGACCTCGCCACTAACGGACCATCATACACTATCAACACCGGAACCTCATATAAGCTACATTACGATACCCATGTTAACCAAAACAAGTCAGATCCATATTACCCATTCAGCGAATGCCAGGGTATATCCCAAAATACAACCATCAGACAAGAATATCAAATCTCACGGCACACCAACACGTACTAGAAACAATCATAACCCTTCGGACACTACTCCCCGTTCCATCTGGAACCCGTCACTTCCAAATGACAACCTCTATGCTATACGATGACATTAGATTACCAAGTCACTACCTAGCAATTCTTCCTATGACATCATCATAACAAAAGAATAAACATTACTCTCAATACCTCCCACGACAGCCACTACTTGCCACTAGAAAAGAATCTCCATACGGCAATACCATTCTGACAATCTCCGTGCCTAAATAAGATAACTTCACACCATTGGTTCAACATCATTACTTCTCCTCTTCACTATTCCTCAGAACACTATTGACCCCTACAAAAGTCAAATTGGGCTACTAACTAGACCTACGGGATCACCCTCGTCCCAATCATTCCAATCATCAGCTTACCTCTTTGAATCCTTAAACAACAAGCACTACCTCCATATACCCCATACGCAACGTAAAGTTTAACTCTAGTCCACAGCTTACCATTTCTAAAACACAGTTCATTTGGTAATATAGTACCTACCATCTATCACTTCATCCGCAACCACCAAACATACCGATGACTACATAATACATTATACACCACCTCAAGACTCTCAATAACTGTGCGAACTTAATCACGCTAGCTAACCAAGCCATGCAATCAACTCTCCATGAGTCGATTACCTGCGACACACTCCTGTAGTTTCCCGAAATGGGGATCACCACTCAACCGACCATGACCAACACGTTTCCTTATACTGTACTAGAATACTCGAAATACACATTTACCATGACTGGTTCGAAAAGAACATCCGCACCAAACCGTAACCCAAGTCACAAACACTAACCTCTTAAGATCATACATTTCTCCCTCAAAAACCTCACTCACAAAGCTGACCTCCACGATCACAAGAACCCACGTGCTAACACAAGAAACTCATACGTCTCACCCTGGACGTCGTGACATGCCATACGCAATTGTTCGAAAGTCGTACCCTAAGCACTACGCCCCAAAAATAACGAAAAACTGAAGCAACCATGTACCGAATAGCTCGATCCACGAGCTAAAGACTTACGCCATTCGTTCAATAAGAACCGACACCCAAACAACCCTGGAGCAACCGAGCTCTTAGCCTACTTAGGTTAAAACTCACACAACTAGCTATGCCGCAACAAGTACTCTACTATACTAACAACCATCCCATGTTCGACCACATACTTTTATACATGCATACTTATGTATATAATAACCGAAACATATACCTTGACACAACCGTGTCCTATCCCATCAATTTAAACAACGAGTCCATTAAATCATTATGTGAAAAAAAATAAATAAATAAACATCCTGTTCATCATTGTCATTTTTCTTTTCTTTCACAATTTACATGTTTTCAATTATTTATACATTTCATCGTCATTGCCATATAACACACATTTTAGCAATTAAATACATAAGTATATGGACACTTAGCAAATAAACATGCCCTTTTAAAACCGTAAACATATAAGCAAGTAACAAGTAGACATGCTTCTTAAAACAATAAACACGTAAACACAAGTACACAATCAATGCAAGTCAACCTTATGCCCCATCTAGGTAAGCCACTACCCGTCTTCCTAAAGGTTTTCAAACCATCGCTTTGATACCAATTTTGTAACGACCCGAACCCATGAGTCCGAATCGCTAACCAGGTCCTTACCTGAACCCAATGTCAACTAAGGACACTACCGTCCATTCCTATGTCAATACATATTATACGTGTCATTCCAGGGTTTATAAAAAAAGAGATAATAATAATAATTATTATTATTATTAAATAAGATCATAACTACAGAGTAGGTCAAAACAGTCCATTAACCCTTCAAGACCTGTAGAAGAGCGTCGTCCGCCACTTCCTTCCCGTATCCTAAAACATGTTAATAATAAAGGGATGAGCAAATTGTCCAGTAGGTGGTGTCTAAGACACACCTCTTGTAACCCCGTGAATCCAAACAATGAATATGAACAAAGTCGTAATGAACCATGTTATGCAATGAGATGCAATGTCGCTCCCTATTTCCAAAACATTTTCGTCATCATTTCCAAACTGTTAGTGAAACCCATCCTATGGCAACCCATGGCAACACAAGAGGAGGTTTGGATAACTGTCCCCAACCCATGGCAATTCCATGGCGTCATTTGGGGCCAGGTAACTCAACCACGCTAAGGCAATCTCCCTAATCCCTTCTAGGTCGCACTAACGCCACGAACACTAAGCAACTCTTAGGCGCCCGGGTTTTTCGCAAACCCTTTTCAAAAAAAATTTCCCCCAAAACAATTTCTTTTACTTTAAAAAAAAAAAAAAAAACACTTTTCCATTTTTTTTTCTCAATGGAATGCATGAATGCTTCATGCCATCAAATACCCATTCAACGATAAAATTCCATCAACATCAAGGTTTCATAATTAAAAGAAATTCTACATATTTATTAGTATAGCCACATCATTTTTTTTATATAGAAATTGAAAATCATTGGACGTTTAATACATCCACACTAAGCATGCTTCTACACCACAAAGAATATCATCATACTTTTAATTCAATTAACACATAGCATAGACTTATCACTTTAAATACAAATAACCACAACAAACATAATCAAGATAATTAAAATTAAGCATGCTAAAATGCTCAAGCTCCTGGCCTCCTCTGCAAAAAAACTCAGCTCCTTTTAGTACCTCCTCAAAATTCTCTCTGTATATTTGCTCTTAGCTCACTCTCTCATTCCTCTATTTTATTTTATTTTATTTTTTCCTTCTCTGCGAACTCTCGTCTCCCTCTCTCATTCCTCTATTTTATTTTATTTTATTTTTTCCTTCTCTGCGAACTCTCGTCTCCCTCTGTATTTCACTTTTTGTACACCCCCTCGACATTTCTCTTTCTATTAATCTCTAATACTCTAATCCAATGCACTAAACACACCTTATATAAACACATTCCACCGACAAAACAATTGTTCACCACACACACAAAATATCAAAGACCATAATCAATTAGTGGACCCGCCACCCATGCTTTCTTCTTCTTTTCTCATTCCTTATCTTCATGCCATCAATTCGGCAGACCCACCTGCCATCTCTTTTCAACAGACACAACATAGATACAATAACCAAATCAATTCACCCAAACAGCTCACGTGAAGCCAAAGACTTTTGGCAATAAATGGGACTCACGAAATCATTACAGCTTTTCCCTTTTTTCTTTTTTTTTAAAGGCATCCACCCATTCCTTCTCTCTTCAGCAAACAAATTATATATATATATATATAATCAAATCAAATCAAACCATAACTCCTTGTTAGACCCACAAAAGCCATTTCCATTACTCTCACTCTTCTTCCCACTTCAGCAGCTCCCATATATATATATATATATATATATAATCAAATCAAATCAAACCATAACTCCTTGTTGAACCCACAAAAGCCATTTCCATTACTCTCACTCTTCTTCCACTTCAGCAGCTCCCTCTTTTCTACATCATTCAACAGACATTAAATATATAAATGTACATCATATACACAAATGTAAACCTTCACCACTTCATCAAAAATCAAGACCCACCAAATTAAAATCATCACCACAATTTTTCTACCTTTCCCATTTCAGTTGACAGTTATCACCAACCTCCATTAAATATATATATGTTATATATACAAATGGACTTCCACTTAACCTTTTAACAAATCAAGACCTACAATTTAATAAATAAATTAATTAATCTACTAAAATTAAATACCAAAAACAAAATATCAATTACCCAAAATATCCGTCTTTAATTAAAATTAAATAATCAACTACAAGTCATGAAATAAATGCAAATTAAAATCCTAAAAATCTGGGTTATCACAGGTTAAGGGGTTATTTGTAGGGTTTTGTTCTATTATCTTCAATAAGCATTCTAGTGAATCTGAAATCTTCCATAATTATTTTTTTGAAGTGAGTTGGCTTCATTAGGTATTAATGTGTTATCGAAAAATTTGGTATTAAATGTATGTAGCAACTACACATTTCACATGTTTTTATTTGATATTTATAAGAAAAAAACATGGCAAAATTTAATATTAATTGGCACACTTATCCCCGGCCTTCACAATTAAAATAAGGTATTCACATAGTGCTGACTAACTAATGTCACACATAAATATAGCCTGAAACACCACCTTCACCGTCAAAATAAGATATTCAAATAGTGCTAACTAACTAATGTCAAACATAAAGCTAGGCCAAAAAATTGGAGATACCGGCCAATGGCTAAGGTACAAATGCTCTATGTTCCCTGCACACATTCACATTGTTTTGAAGGATATCATATTGTGCTTCCATTGTATTAAATATGTTGACTAAGTAATGGGAAGATATGAAAGAATTGATAAATTTCCTCAGGCCAGTTTTGAAATAACAACATAATAATTTGTTCAATTGACATATATTTATCTGTGACATTAGTTATTCGGCAATATGTGAATACATTATTTTAAGAGTGAAAGTGGTGAGTGAGCAAATGACAAATAATACCAAAGTTTGTAAATTTTTTGTTACAGCTTTGCAAGGTATAAAATCCTATATTCATAAATCTTTAAAACCAACCACTTTGGAGTGGAATAAGATGCAGAATTAAAATTCTGATCCTTGATCTATTTTATGCTTTATGTTTCAGCTCCAAAAAAGAAAAAGAAAAAAACTGAGAATTCATATTATTTATTCTGATAATTTAATTTTGATAAAATTTTATTTGTTTGATCCACTAAATTTTAAAGATGCTGAACATAACTCTAAAAATTGTTTTAGCTTTTCAATATGGAAATATAATACCATTCTCAAGGGAGGAACTATTAATGGGCTAACCTGTATAGCCCAAGTTGAATTAAAAAAAAAAAAAAAATAGTACTACTATTCATATAAGCTCAGTACACATGTAATCAATTTGTAATACTACTCTTCATTTTCTTATTAGCCCAACTGTTCATGTGTTTATTTGGGCTATATGCTACTGTTATCTTCTTGTTCGAACTGTTCTTGTGTTTATCTTTTATTTTTTCTTCCTTAAGCAAGAGCATAAATTATGTTAATTAGAAACCACAATTCAAAAAATTTACAACTACTAGAAAGTGAGGAAACATCTAATTTTTCCTTCAAATTAGGACATAAGTCCATATTCCCTAGAACATGGGCAGTCTTATTTCAAAATCTAAGTACCTTTATCAATTAATAGTTGAATGGATATTTAAGATTCAATTGGATAATTTTTTATTTTATTTTTACTTTGAAAACAAATTCTAATGGGCACTTTAATGGTGGATTATACTTGATTTTAAGTTGAGATCTAAACGTGGTAAATTAGGTTTGTAGGTCCTCTTGGATCGGATCTTCACTAAAAAATGATCAATTTCATAATTTAGTTACTTGAACATGAAAATGAGACCATATTGAACACATTATATATTTCCTTACCATATCTCACTTTTATACGAATTTTTTTTAATATTTTACAACTTTTATTGTGTTCAGTTTCATATTTTCTTATTTTTAACTCTTCTACGTTACAACGACTTTTTGATTGACAAGGTGGGTCTCGGAGTACGTCCGCTTTACTTGATAGGCCTGGAGGGTAGACAAAGATAGCAATCCATTTTTAATAATATATGTGTGCCACCAACTAATAATAATTTGTTCAAGACAAATTGCGAATTCGATGAATATGAATTATTAGAGATTGTGTCCCGAACATAAAGGTCCCCAAATTCAAAAAATGGGAAGATGTCAAAAGAGTTATTTGATTTGCATATCATAAAGTAGTTAATTTACTATTTGATATATAT